CCCCCCCCCCCCCCCCCCCCCCCCCCCCCCCCCCCCCCCCCCCCCGGTTAGAGCGTTCTGATTAGGGTGCAAAATGTTTCTTGAAAACAGAGATGACCCCATTCCCAAAGGAGATAAGCAGGAATCCAGGCATGTAGAAACGCTCGATAATTTTATCTCATCTCCTTTACAAAGACTTAGTTACTTTTCAGTGTGGACTGTTGTTAGCAAAGCACAGAAATACTTTTTAAAGTTAGCAAGTTAGGGGCGCCTGGGTGGCGCAGTCGGTTAAGCATCCAACTTCAGCCAGGTCACGATCTCGCGGTCCGTGAGTTCGAGCCCCGCGTCAGGCTCTGGGCTGATGGCTCAGAGCCTGGAGCCTGTTTCCGATTCTGTGTCTCCCTCTCTCTCTGCCCCTCCCCCGTTCATGCTCTGTCTCTCTCTGTCCCAAAAATAAATAAACGTTAAAAAAAAAAAAAAAGCCTTAAAGTTAGCAAGTTAAAGTTATACAAGAGCCATCAGAAGAAGACACTACCTTCAACATGTGGTAATTAAGCCTTGAGCCTTTTGCTAATGCTAGTCTTTAAGGCTGAATGTAGGATGTATCATGATAAAACAACGTGACCAATTTTTTTTTAAAAAAGGACAAACCTAAGCAAAACAGCTCCTAAGAAAGCCAGACTTTTGCTCTGATGGTGTTGGGGGTGCTGGGAAGAGCTGGGCAGCTCCTCCTCGAATACTTACTGGGAGCCTAACGCACCAGGCCGTGTGCTAGGAGCTGGGGACACTGCTGTGAGCAAACTGACCTGGTGCTGCCTTGATGGGGGACAAACTTTGATAAAAGGAGGGCACAAATGTCAAGCTGCGATTGTAGTGAGTGCCTTGCGGACCAACAATCTGTGGCCATCCCGGGGGATCCGACTGGGCCTCAGAGGAATTCGGGAAGGTTCTCAGGGGAGGAGATATCTGACCTGAGGTCTGAGAAGGGGAAGCCCAGAGGGTACAAGGCTGGGGGGTGCTGCAGGCAGAGGGGAACGCCACACTCAGTAAACCCTTGACCTATTCCGTCAAAGCAGGGGTGCGGCTTAAACTGCCTGTCCTTCCCAGCCACGTGGAAGGGACTTTGGACTTGACTACAGAGACATAAAATTCAGGCTTATGTCTATGGATCAGCCGTGGGAGGCCTCCCAGAGTCTTCCCTCCAAACATCAGGCCAGAAGGGTCTTCAGCCTGAAACCTACAGCATCTTGCTGGGTTGATGCTGAACGCTGCGCAGAGGGTCAGGAAACATTCAACGACTGTCTTACTCCTATGAGGCTAGGCTTGATTTCTGGGTGAACTCAAGTTCACCCAGAATAAGGGTGCTGACCAAGTGAGGTGCCTAATCCTGGCCACATCATTTCAGTCAGGCCAAGGCTTGGCTTTCCAGAGCCTACCCAAGAAAATCCAGGCCTATCTCACCCCTGCTGTGCCTGGAGAGGGCAGGCCTACTGTTATTTTCTTGTGTTCATCCCCTTTGTAAGGGCTCAGGCCGTAGCCCCCGAAGGAGGAAATAACCTGTAAGTAAACAAAGGACAGGGCCACGTAGCCTGCCAGAGCAAGAGTTCAGGCGAAATGGCCTAGAAATGACCCACACAGAATAGCCCACAAGCGATTTTACTGCCCCATAAACGCTAAACTTGAGTACAACGGTGAACGGTAGCAAGGTGACCTGCAGCCTGCCTTTTTTTCACTTCCTCAAGAGACCTTCAAGAGCTCAGTACCAGGGGCCCCAGCCGGGACGACGGTAGCTCCAACGCACTGAGCTCCGACGGAGGGGCTGTGCACCTGTCACCTCCTTACAGCCTGGCAGCAACCGTCAGCCCGCGGTCACCACCGATCCCATTTAACAGGCAGGCACAGGGAGGACCGAGGCCCACAGCCGACAAACAGGGACGCGGGGACTGGCGCCCAGGGCCGTCAGACACCGGAGCGCTCACTGCCAGCCTTGCGAGAGCTCGATCCCCTCCTTCGCGTCTCAATCCACGCCCCCTTTTTCCAAATCCCGAACAGCCCGAACTGCCCGGCAGTCCCAGCTGGTTAGCTGGGAAGGGAGGGCGCGCTGAGCCGAGCCAGCGATGCCGGAGGGGGGCGGGGGGCGCGAGGGCCCTTTCTTTTCCCAAAGTTTCGTTGCGGGCCGGCTGGGGGGATGAGAGGAGGAGCACGGCCAGGTGGGAGGGCGGTTGTGGAGGGAGGGAAGGAGCGCACGCTGACGGGAGGGGCGCAAGCGGGGGCGGGGGCGGGGGCGGAAGTTACCAGACCCCGGCGCGGTGGGCGGCGGGGCGGCCAGTGCTGGCGTCCGTCGCGGTCCCTCGGCGCTGAGGGTCTGAGCCCGCCCAGACGAAAGCGAAAGTAAAAGCCCCGGCGTGGCAGGGGGCGGAGTCGCGCGGGGCAGCCCTGGGCAGGCCGGACAGCGGGCGACGCCTGCTGCTCGCGCGGCCGGCGCGCACCGCCCCTGGAGGGCGCCCTCTGCAAAACTGGGGGCCGGGTCCGCACGCTGTCCGCGTTCACCGCCCGGGGGAAAGGCGCCCGTGCAAAGTTGGCCGCGCACCCCTAGAACTTGCCGGATAAAGTTTGCAGGCAGCTCTGCGATCCCGACGCCGCGCTCACAGTCCCCGGGAGCGCACCTTCTGCACCCCCGGCGCGCTCCAAGGGACCCGGGAGCGCGCTCGGCAAACGGGGCGCGCACGGAACCGCAGCCGCACACCCTGAAGAGCGCGCCCCGCGGCCTTCGCGGCGCTCGAGGGTCGGGCGCTCTCCAGGGGTTCTCCCCTCCTGCCGCTGCTGTCCCCCGTCTGCACCTCCCTTCGGGTCTCCGCACCGGTTCGGGGACCCGGTTCCCACAGCCAGAGGGCTCTTCCGCAGCCAGGCCCCCGACCCCAGTCCGTGCTGGTGGCGTGCTCACCCCGGGGATTGGGTGCCGGGCGCCCGCAGCAGCTGGAGCTACCTTCTCCCGGGCGGGGCTCCTGGGACCAGCCCTGGGGTCGCCGATGGGCTTCCACTCGCTGGGGCGTCTCGGTTCGCGCGGGGGGGGGGGGGTGCGGTAGGGCCCGAACTCCGCTCTGTCGTCGTGGACGAGCTCCGTCTCTTAACTCGGAGAACTGGTCTGAAGTTAGTGCCAGAATCTGTCCTGCTCGATTTACTGAGCGCCCCCAAGTGTCAGCCACTGGGGATGTGGCCGTGACTTAGTGGAACGTGGGAGGGACCGTGCGCTCTCCCGGATTCCACCTCACTCCTGCCCCTGCGCCCCGCACACGTGCGCGGATGCACACGCGCAACACACACATGGCGTCTTCACCCTTGGGCCTCCAGCCGGCGCCTCCTATGCCTCTGTCTCCAAGACCGCTCAGGGAAGCGACTAATTAACGGGTCACACTGAGGTGTGAATGTATGAGAAGTTACGCTTCTATCTGTGCCAGAAATAATTGCTTTTAAAGAACTTTCAACCACCTTGAGTGAAAGGAAACCGTCGTGGCGTGAGATCAGGCAAGGACCACATCTTGTCCTTTTGTTTGCTGGCTTTACCCTGGGCCCGAGACTAAAGTAACCGTCTAGAATCTCACCAGGTAAGGACGCTTTCTTGGTCTAGGACGGACTGGCTCCAGGTAAGTGTCAGGGCATGGCTGTAATTTACTAACTGCTGCAAAAATCCCGAATTCCCGAATGTTTTAAGCAGTCACCCTGTTTCCAATATGGCTGTGTTATATAGGCTGGAAATTTGTGCCCACGGCCCCCGTGGTCGAATGTTGGAACTCGACGCTCAGCGTGATGGTTTTAGGAGTTGGGTATGATTTTGGGAAGTGCTTAAGTCTTGAGGGTGGAGCCCTTGTGAGTGGGATTAGTGCCCTTATAAAAAAGGCCTGACAGAGCTTTCTAGCCACTTCCACCCGGTGAGGACACAGACGGAAGTTGCAGACTGCATCCCCAAAGAGGGGGTCTCGGGAGAACCCCATCATGCCGGCACCGTGATCTTGGACTTCTAGCCTCCAGGACCGGGTGAAATAAGTTCCTGCTGTTTATAAGCTATTCAGTCTGTAGTATGTTGTTACAGCAGCCCAAACAGGCTAAGGCAGTTATATATAACTGCCTTATATATAAGGACGTTATATGTAACATCCATGTTTCTAAAATGTTGGGGATAAACTAACTCCTTGTAGACACTAAGATAATTTGCTGTTTTAAAGGAATTCGGTTGTGAATCCTTTGAGAAATGAAAACTACCAGTAAGGAAAATTGGTTGCTTTCTAATTTAATTTATAAATTTAAGTTTTTTGCAGGTTATTCTGGAGATAGAGTGAAACACAATGTTAGATTTGGAAGGGACCTTAACTACTACTCCCTCTGCTCATTTTATAGGTAAAGAATCTGAGGCTCAGAGGAGTTTTCCACACCCTTCCTAGCGGCAGAACCAGGATCAGGTTGCCTAGAAAAATAATGAATTTTCCATCCTCAAGAAGTCTCTACCGTAAGTTATATCATGCAAATGTATATTTGTATTGCACGTAGGAATTCATTGCTGGCTAAGAAAGATGGTTTGAAGGAAAACTTTCTTTTTTCAGTTCTTTAGTGTGGGCTGGCATGGGGAACCCCGAAGATAGTGCTCTGAGGCTGGATTTTCCCAGTATTAACAAGTAAAATCGTGGAGATATGGAAGGGAAGAAATAATTTTGAACTTTTCCCTCTATAATAGTTTTACTGAGACTTTAGATCCAAGTGACATTCTAACTGTATTTCTTGTGTCTCTCCAGCCTTGGCCCATGCCATTGTCTTCTGCTTCCTTTCCATACTCACATGATTAGCATGTAAGTCTTCCTCCTCCTTCCAGAAAAGTCCCCAAACTCCGTTACTCAAATGGTTTCCCCAGGGCTAGACTCCTGGGTGCTCCTGGACTGGTCCCTTCGGCCCTTCCCTCTGGCCCTCTCCTCTTGCCCTGGTGAGCTCCTTAATCCCCCCCTCATCCTGCTGAGCACAGGACCCCCAAAGGATGCCACCAGTGATGTTTCTCTAATTCTTCACAGCACAGCTCAGGCCAGGCTATGACTTTATACAGGACTCCATTGAAGGATATCCCTTGTTTAACAGAAATGCCCAGAAATGTCTTAAGAGTCACAAGCCCAAACCCAAACTCTGGTTGAGGCACCGGCAGCCTCCTTCAACGGGGGGTGGTGGAGGGGAAGAGTGGGAAACTCTGGGCTTAGGCAGAATTCCCTGAAAGGGGGAATTCGTGTTGAACCTATTATCAGTTAATTGTCTCTCAGCTCCGCATTCACCCTTTTTGTCTGTTCCGTAAAAATTAACCTGGGCCCTTTATGTAGTTTTCTTTGCTTCCCTCCCCCTGCCATGTTATGCTTTGCCTGTAGGGGGTGCTGGACAGAGATTCCAAGAGGAAAACCAGTATCTCTGGTGTGCTCCTGGAAAATCAGGCTCTTACAGAGGCTTCTCGGGTTTCTGTGGCGCACCCAGCTTCCCTGGTGCCCAGCTACTGCTCTGCCTACCAGCCGGCAGCATCCAACAATCCTGGCACTCCCTCACATGGTTTTGAGATACCTCCCTATGAACCTAGAGAGTCGATTTCCAGGAAGTTCTAGGGGCCAGATTTCTAGCAAGTTCTACCAGCACGGCATGACAGTGACTTCTCTGTCATCTAGTGAGTCACAGCCACACTCTCTTCAGCAAGATTTGGATCTCAGCCCTGGGGTGAGGAGAAGGTGGGGAGGACTGTCTGTCTCAGCTCAAAGCAGGGGTAGCGGCTTGTTACGTTGTTATGTTACGTCACGTTACTTTACGTGTTATAGGACGTGCGCTGTGGTAATTAGCTCAGAATCACGTATTTGACTTTATTGGCTCTTCTTTCTGTGGCTCACTCACACCCTCACTCCTGCCTTGTGGAACCACTCCCCAAATGAACTACCAAGTCCTCACCTCAAGATCTGGTTTTGGGAGAACATAAACTAAGGTAGACATGCACCCCCCAGCGAGGGAGGGACAATTCCAATCTAAGCAAAGTGACAGGGACAGAACAAAGGGTCAGGAGCTTTCTCCTCCCTCTGAATTTGTCATCTCCCTGTAATTTCAAAACCGTTTCACATCCATGGCCCTGGGGGACACTGGAAATGACTCAGAGCTAGGAAGAATGACCTCATCTTCTGGATGACAGAACCAAGGTACAAAAAGATCTTGACCTGCTGAAGCAACGGGGCTTCCATCAACAGGACAAAATTGAAGAGATAAACAAGTGCTCCGTTTAAGTTCATAAAGAAAGTCAGTTATCCACAGACTGAACATGATAGCAATTCGTTTGAAATGAAATGCGGGGTTTTTCACTGATCACAATGTCCCTATGAGTCAGGACTTCAAAAAAAAAAAAAAAAAAAAAAAACAAAAAAAACAAAGAAACGTGGGGCAGTGTTGGCAAAAGCATCCAAATCGAGGACCCAGAAGATTCTCCATGGCCTGGCCCTGGCTCACCACAACCAAGCCCAAGTCTCGGACTCTCTGGTGATTGGACGGCATATCGGACACCTCTCAGGAGCCACTTTATTTATTTATTTATTTATTTATTTAGTGTTTATTTTTGAGAGGAGGGGAAAGGCAGAGAGAGAGAGAGAGAGGGAGACAGAGGATCCAAAGCTGGTTGGTACCAACAGCAGAGAGCCGGATTCAGGGCTCGAACTCATGAACGGTGAAATCATGGCCTGAGCCAAAGTCAGACATTCAACCAGCTGAGCCGCCCAGGCGCCCCAGGAGCCACTTTAGATCCACACAGCCTCACCTGTCTCAGGACCTCTGCCTGCTTGGGTTGGTCCAGCCTCAGCACTGGCAAGTAGCTCTGTGTGGGCTCTGGCCATCTTCATGGGGGCACAACCAACAGTGTCTTTGGCCTTCTGTTGTCTTTGCTCTTTTCCCCATGTCGCTGTTGAAGCATAAGATGCTGGGGGACGCCCCGGGCATATACACAGCATGGACGCATAGGGAAGTTAACACCCAGTGGGACTCCCACCAATGGGAGACCAGGGCCAAGAGGTATATTCTTCCCCCTTCCTTCCTGTAGCAGATGTTCCTGATTAGAAGTTGTTTATGTAGCCTCTTGGAAGATGGCGATCGAGCTGTCCAGTGCACCTCATATCAGGCAGTGGCTCCTTTGCGAGTGAACCTTCATATTGACCCCCTCCCCAACTGCACCACCATTTCCCGCCTCTTTTCTTCTCCCTGGCACTACCTTTCTAAATAAAGTCCTTGGACATAAGCCTTTGCCTCCTGTTCTGTTTTGCGGGGAACCCAGGCTAAGACACGTCTGAACGTATCCCGAAGGCCACACGAGTGTCGTGTGCTCCTTGGCTGCGGCTCGGATGGGTGGCTTAGGTAGTCACTGTGGCAAGGTGGGGGGAGGGCTCTACCGGAAGTGAGCAGGGTGGGATGGACAAAGGGGCGACCGCCCACAGTGCCTGTCGAGCAGAGGGGGGCCCTGTGGATCTCGCTCCAGCAGTGAGCGGTCACCCGAGTTCCTTAAGGTGTCCGATTCTAGTTCACTGGGCTTGTTCTCCTCGTGACTTCCGATCCCTAATAAATGCCTTTTAGAAGCAGAGGTAAAGGTACAAATCCAATTCAACGTCTTCATTCTGGTAATTGTTTTCACAAGGGCAACCTCGAACCGCAGCGGCTAGGTCACCCCTTAGAGAAGTGGTAAGTGGCTTTTAACTTACGTGGAATCTGACTGTAATTCCTCATCCCTCTGAGTCCTTTCTCAGTGATTACTGGGGCTCGCACCCAGCCGCCCAGGAAAAGCTTGAGAAGCCTGTTAAAGAGCAGAATGTTCTGGGAACACTTCACGTCCTGCACCAACTTTCAGCGTGGGAGCCTTCCGGAGCCTGGGGTCCCTGCTCGGGGTCCCCTTCCTGCTGAGAGAGCAGCCTTGGGCCCCGCTATCTATCTGTGGGAACCCTGGACTGCAGCCCCTCCTTTGTGTCGTGTGAATGCTTTCTGCTTTTTCTCCACTTGCTTTGCAACCTACTCCCCCTTCCCAGCTCAGTACTTAACTGAACATCTTTTCTGTGTCAGGCCTTGTTCCAGGCACTAGGGAAAGAAATGACAAGAACCAGGGATCCTGTTTTGAAGGAACTTGTATTTTGATGGAGGAGGCAGATACTTTTATTTTATTCTGTTTTATTTATTTATTTTCAAAACGTTTTCTTTATTTTTGAAAGAGAGAGCGTGAGCGGGGGAGGGGCTGGGGGGAGGGGGGCGGGCAGAGGATCCGAAGCGGGCTCTGTGCTGACAGCTGCGAGCCCGATGTGGGGCTAGAACTCAGGAACCATGAGATCATGACCCGAGCCGAAGTCGGATGCTCAACCCACTGAGCCACTCGGGTGCCCCGGAGACAGAAAATTTTAAAATGCAGAGATTCTGATACTCAAGATGTCCAGTGGTGGTTAACTTCGATGAAGAACATAAAGCAGGGTAAGGGCCATAGAAAGTGGTCAGGTGAGGGGTGGAAACAGGTGAGGTGCCATCTTTTGGAAGCTGTTTCTAGAAGGTCTGTTTTCAGGTGACATGGAGGTGAACACTGAAGGTGACGGAGGGGCTTCGTGAAGCCAGGAAGAGAGGGTTCGTCTTTAAGCTGCCCCACTTCAGGCCTGGGAAGGAAGAGAATAAACAGACCTTCTTGGAACGATCTAGGATAACGTACAGAGACCAAAACACTGAGAGGTCTAGTGTGTTCTTATCCTAATCAGTTTTCAGCCTCACTGTTGTGAACATCTTTTTTATTTTTATTTTTTTAGATTTTTTTAAAAAGTTTATTTTTGAGAGAGAGAGAGAGAGATTGAGAGAGCGTGCACAAGTGAGGGAGGGGCAGAGAGAAGGAGACACAGAATCCGAAGCAGGCTTCAGGCTCTGAGCTGTCAGCAGAGGGCCCAACGCGGGGCTAGAACCCAAGAATCGTGAAATCATGACCTGAGCCAAAGTCGGACCTCACTGACTGAGCCAGCCAGGCGCCCTATTATAAACATTTTTAATAGATAAAGCTAAAATTCAGATACGGTGTTTACCCCTCCCATGGAGTGAATCAAGCCTGTTTTGTTTCTTATATTTTTGGGAGCTGGCCTCTCTGCTTTAGTCACAGGCCTCATAGAGCAAGCTTTTCTAATTTGATCATTGGATGAGTGTGTGGCCTATCTCTTTGTATTCTTTTCTTGGGTTATGATCACAGTTAGTGTTAAACTACTACATGCTGCCTAATCACACACGAGGATTTGGTCACCCACATAAACATGATGCTGTTGTGAGTTCATTTTTCTATTTAGAGAAGCACGTCAGCTAGAAATACCTCCAGCTCATTTCCCAGACACATGCGTGCTCAGCCAGTCGCCAAAATAGCCCCTTAAGTAAGTGGCAGCTTTAAAAACCATCCAGCTGCTGACTTCAAACTAGAAGGTCAGCAAAGGAAAGTGGAAGTTGGATTTTGAATGAGCAAGGTGTCCACAAGGTTTTGACGGTGGTCAGGATTTTGGGAGACTTGAACAGCTAGCCTGGGACTGTTCCTTGGATTTCTTGCCTGTTGCCTCTTTTTGTCTGCTCTCTCCGGACATCACGATGAATGTGCAAGCTTGTTCTAGGTGTGGGTATGGAGTTTATCCTGCTGAGAAGATCAGTTGTCTAGATCAGGTCAGTAGACATGTTTTGGCCTGTGGAAATAAATTTACCAATACGGGAAATTTATCTTCTCACGTATGGATGTGTGGTTGTTTTTGAACCATCCAAAAAATGTATTTCTCACCTTTCTTCAGTTCTACCCATTTCTATCTGTCTTCTGTGTTGCCTTGAAAAGGTTATTCATTTATTTAACGTTGTATTTGTGTGTATGTGTACGTGTGTGCTTATCACCATATTATCTCTAAAGATGAGTTTTTACCTGGAAATGTACAAGAATCCTGAGTCTGGGGAAAAAAAAGGTATTTCTGCTAAATCTTTTCTGTACGATTTCTAGATATGGCATAAAGCGTGTTTTCACTGTGAAGTTTGCAAGATGATGCTATCGGTTAATAACTTTGTGAGTCACCAGAAAAAGCCGTACTGTCACGCGTAAGTGTTTGATGCCCTGCCCCACCACCTCTTGGGTTTTGTTTATTTTTTAATGAGGAGCCAACCAGAGCTTCAAATCACACAGTCCAGAGTTAAATCCAAAAATCATCTTCCCCAAGGTTTTCATTTACATAGAATCATTGACGAGCCCTAAGGCAGGATTTTATGCAAAGGACAGAAAGTTGAAAATTTCAAATTTCTTACAGTAAAATGGTAAATCTATCCACTGTAACCACATATCGAATTATTAAATACTGTGCAAAACAGTGTAATTACCACAGATATACCTATAAAGCGTTAATTTTTTTCTTTTAAATAATTCCAGAATCCATTTCTGGTTTCTTTTTTTTCAGAAAATTTTTAAGTGGTCATTTTCTAGTTGAAATTTTTGTACGTTCTATATATTGAATTTATTTGATTTAATTTTTCTTTCTTTAAGGCCTTGCTTGGAAAACCGTGAACTTAATTATTAAGTTGTATATTTATGAATGTAAAAAACAACTACCTTTAAGAATAGTCACTCAATCATCTTGGGTAAAATACATTTCTAATTCTGGTTTATATATATTTTTTCTAGCCATAACCCCAAGAACAACACTTTCACAAGTGTCTATCATACTCCATTAAATCTAAATATGAGGAAGACCCCAGAAGCCATCCATGGGGTAAGTTACTTAATTTTGAATTTCAAAATAGCCTTTAAAGAAACTTTGTTAATTAACTCAGATTTTTAAGTGTCTGTGTCGACATTGAACCTGCTCATTTTCTTCACTTACATGTGCAAAGCGCATTTAAGTAACAAGTGTTGCTATTTGCCTTACACACTATAGGGGCCAATACCCAAGATAATCTAGCTTGAATATCCAAGGTATATGTAATCTTTCTCTGTCTGCCAGTCTGTTCACACTGATGATGGTTTACCCGATGGGCCCTGTACGCACTAGGTGCCTGATATGTAAAATGAAGTTTATAGAGTTGGAAAATATTATAAGAGCCTTTCCTTATTTTTTCCCCTGATTATTTTGGTATAGAAAATTAGGGGCGCCTGGGTGACTCAGTCAGTTGAGCATCAGACTCTTGATTTTGGCTCAGGTCATGATCTCACCATTCGTCATATCGAGCCCAGTGTTGGGATCTGCACTGACATTGCAGAGCTTTCTTGGGATCCTCTCTCTCTCTCTCTCTCTCTCTGCCCTTCCCCCACTCATGCTCTCTCGCTCTCTCTTTCTCAAAATAAATGGATACATAAATTAATAAAAAGAAAAAAAATTAAAAAAGAAAACAGTAAACTTCTAACTCCACACTCTTAAATCTTTCTAGATTCAGTAGTTCTTAACAATTACTAGCAGCCTCTCTTTCCCCCTGGGATAGCGGCAGGTCAAAGAGGCTTTGATTTGGAAGCCATGTTTGCATAGACATGCATAGACAAGCCGTGTTGATAAGCCAACCTCTTTTGAGAAACCAACAATGGGGTTTTGTCAGAGAGCCGGCTATTGACCGGACGCTCGCGTTTATTAAAACGATGACTCATTTAACTTCTTTCCCCCTGCCCCACAGAAGTTGCTCTGCGGGATGGAGCTGGCAACTTTCTAAAATTAGAAACTTGCACACGAGGGGGAAGACTGTCTGTGATCTGCCCTCCGCATGTCCCCTCAGCTCATACTGCCTCTCCTGCCTGGGCAGGCTCCCCTTCTCCGCAGGAAGACCTCTGTTAGATGGAACCTCCCCGATGCCCACTGCCACGTGGCTTATTTCACTAAATGCTTTGCACTGATTGTGAGCTTATTTCTTAGCAGGCTTAGATAACATTTACTCCACAGTCATTTGATTCATTTAGTACACGCCACAATCTGACAAAGTAAGTACGATGATCATCCCCTTCTGCTGAGGAACCTGAGGTGCAGAGTGGCTCACACATGCCTGATCTCGAAGAATTCGCAAGCAATCCTAGATGGCCGAGAGGGTTAATTCTCGGAGGATCTTGTTTTCATCTCCTCATGGCTCAGGGCAGCTCCACAAAACTACAGTAAATACAGAGCGTTGCTCCTACTGAAACAGTGCCACGCATTCTTCTAGGCTCTTTATCCATCTGGTTTTTTTGTTTTGTTTTGTTTTTTTTCACAAGAATCCCCTGTAATATTATCATCTTGCAGCCGGGGAGGCTGA